AGTTTCCTTTCTTGTGTGATTTTTTTTTTCTTGTGTGATTGTTGCTCTGAACCGATCGTCTCTTCTCTCTACCATTTTCATCTTCCTCACGAGGTTCTGCATCACAAGATCTTGTCTTTATTCTCCCTTTTTCTGTCTCTCTCTCTTCACTCCACATCTCACTACTAGCTTATTTAKGTGGTTTCGTTCTTAAAGGCAAAAGAGCACGTAGATTGGGACCCACACACAATACACGTGGCTCGATGGCCGCTTCGAGAGGAGATTCTTTGTTGTCCTAAACCAAAAATACAGAGGCTTTTCACTTCTCAACGCGTTTTATACATTCGGTACGGTTTGACTTTTAACCGGATTATCGTATARCCGGACCAAATCGAAAAAAYCYAATATTTCCGGTTTAATTGAACAAGGAATTCAAAACTGAAGAAAATCTTCATAAAAATGGTACATTCAATCAAAAGAAAAAAAGTTTCACCAGATTTTATAACTCTGAGGAAAATGACCAAAATGCGAATTTATTACTTGGTGATAAGGTTAAAACTTGAACAAACAAAAAAAAAAGAACTAACGTTTGATTAAAATTTTTGACTACCAGTGAGCAATTATCTGGAAAAATTGGAAGATACTGAACTGTGTTTCTTTCTCTATCTCTCAATTGCAGAAATTGAGTTTCTTCATAACTTTGGCATATGCTGCTGGTACTAGTGCAGGCTGTCTCAATCTACGCTTCGATTTCTTTGACTGCATCAAGTAMCAAATTCATTACTCTCAACATCATTAATCAACCTGACTCAGATATCTTCCACATTTATAGACAACCGAACCCCAAAGAGACCAAAGAACAGAGACGGTATTGTAAAGTAAAACTTTGCCTACCATATCTCTATCTAGATTCAACAAGGAATCACCGAAAGATTCAAAGTTAAAACTAATTCACTCAAACTTCCTATGTTAAGCAGCTGTAAGCAAGTTCTGATCAGTTATATTCCTAGTTATTATCATACTGTTCTTCCGGAGAGATTGGCCAAAAGAATATATAAACTCAGAGATTCATATTATAGAATAAGAGACAAGGTGTTGTTAGTTTACTTTCAAGTGTGCGTTGTGGCGCTTGCCTTCTTTCCAGCGACGGATGGTACCATCTTTCAGTGGTCTAAACCTGTCTTTGTATGACCTGAGATATAGATTCAACAAGTCGATTAGAGACGCACAAAAATTTCCACCTAAAATAAACCTTAATGATATCTAATCTTGGAATCAGGACGTACGAATAGAACTTTATCTTGACTTTCTTGACTTTTGATGTGATTGGAGTCCTAGGTCTCCACTTCTTCTTCCATTTAGCCATTTTATCCTTGGTAGTGATATTCCGTACTTGAACAAACTGAATGCAGAGAAGATCAAGGTCAGAGTAAAAAAATTAACCCTTGAGAGACATAAATTGATGTTGAAAACTAGGAAAAAAACAGGATTTTTGTTTTGCTAACTGTGATTGCTATATGTAAGATTCGTGTAACACCTGTAAACCCGAAACTGGTCCAACAACATATCTACAGTTTTTCCGACTACATGTGTGTACATAAGAGACTCAGTGAGGTTACAATTCCACGGTTGGTAGTGAATGCTATTCAAGCACACACTTTTATCATTTGGCTTAGAGAACATGATATCAAAGTTCTTAACCTTTCTATACCCACAAGAACAAGAGCTTCACACAACAAGTCGAAAACTTAGATTCTACAGAAGCAACTAAAACTACATACCAATTCAAATTATCTAACTGGACAGATCTTGTCCTCCCTAAAGCAATTGGAGCTAAATCTTAACCTAATTGAAACGAATTCCTTCACAGTCGCATGAAAACTCTCTCATTTCGTTTCTCGCGAATCAAATACAGTTAAACGATTTCCAGAAACTTACGTGATGAGGAACAAAGGTAGACCCCATGGAGCTAGCGTTCAAAGGAGAAACTCCGTTCAATGCGGCGGTGGGAACGAATCTCCATTTGGTCGTGGTGGGGAAACCTAGGGTTAAGTGAGAACTCGGAGAATGGTGGATCAGACGGTGAGGAGAACCGATAGAAGAGAGATTCCGATTTGATTGAAGGGAAAGTGAACGTAGCTTAGTGCAAAATCTCTGCATTGTCGTCTCCAAGTTTCTTCCGATTTGTGAAAGAAGGTTTGATAAAAGTTTGGGTTTTTTTGGTGGAGAAGCGATTTTGCGAAATGATTTAGGGAATGTTTGGGAGTTAGCATAACTATATCCTTTATCATTTTTTTAACTTATGTCACCCTCACTCACTAATTCATACAATTAAATTGATAATGCAAAACTGTAAAATATTTAGCAACCATTGGTAAAGATAGTTTTAGAAAA